AAGTAGTGATACATCGATTTGAAACACCATCCCATAATTTGATGCATGCATCCTTGCTTCCTGTCACATACATGTTAGCACTTGCATTATAGTTTACTGAACATATAGCGTCGGTGTGTTGATCTTGAGGATTGCAAGACACAAAACACTGGAATGTATTGATATCATAAAGCCGTAAGGTAGGGTGCTGGGTACCAACAAGTATGAAGTCGCCAGAAGGATGAAAAGAAATGGAGCGTAACATTTCTGCTTCCTGTGTGATGAGAAATATATAAATCAATATAAATATAAAGAACCTATTTGCAGAGAGAAAATCCTAGTGGATTCACAAGTCTGAAGTTCTACGATATTTTCATATTAAAAGGAAGTTCAATTCTTAATTAGTATAGTGTTCAGGGCAGGATACAAATTGGAGACCACCACTCCCCTCTCCACTATATGGCAGTAACACATTTAGATGGATCAGGATTATACTCTAAGAGGTTCTCACAACAAAATTTTTTGGTGGCCTCAGAGTGTGGCCACCAACTCTTACTGGTGGCTGTTCTCATAATTTTTCCTAAAATACTTAACTAACTTTTGGAAAAACAAATACATATGCACATATACATATCCAAATCATTGTAATTTATTTATGTAGGATTTTTTCACAGACTCAATATTAAAAAATAATGTACAGTTGTCTCTATTCTTTACTGGACCTAGACAGAATAGAAACACAAATAAGGTGCTTTGCATGTTCTTGTTGTTTCTTTTGCCACCCCCCCCCCTTTTTTTTTTTTAAGACTTGCTAGAGAGTAAGTCTGTTGTGAAAAGTGCTAACAACAAACATACAAATATCACTTTTCACAGCAGACTTACTCAGTCCCAACAAGCCTGGGGACAAATTAAGCCCTGGACGAGGAGGTGGGTAGGGAGCCAGTGGGGGCTGAGGTAATGGGGGAGGCAATAGGATGAGTTCAGGGACAGAGCCTGTCACCACGCGGCCAGGGAATGGAGCCTGAAGCCCCATGGCTGGAGCCTACCACCCAACTGCTGAAGCCCAACTCCACTGCCCCCGGGGAAGGTGAGGAACTCACTGGCTGCCTGCTCCTCGTCTTTTGTGTCTCCAGAGGGGCGCAGGGCCCAACCACTACAGACTTGACGGCCTCGGACGAGGGGCTAATGCTTTGCGCCCCCCCCTCCCCCCCCATCACTGCCTAGAAGGCTGTGGCTGCAAGGAAAGCCCCTTGTGGCCGCATTTGAGAAACACTGCTCTAAGTCCTATATCAATTTTCAATGCCTATTCATGGGGTTGGGGGAGAGAGGAAGAAATTTTCCCCTTAACAACCAAAAAGAAATCCATAGAACTTCAATGCTGTTCATAAAGGAAATGCCAGAAGCACCACCCCTAACAGTTTCAGGTTTCCCTGGTTGGCACATGTAGAGAGGAGAGCGGACATCAGATTTGAGAAGATCACAGGCACACATTTTATGTACCTAATTTGTATGCATAGTTATCACAAGAGTATCTGCAAATTGGATAATTGCATACTACTGTGCACCTAGCTATTTCTACATGCAGACACAAATTAGCTAATTGCTATCATTGCAGTTGTAGACCTCAAGCTTTTTTGTTTTTTTAAAAAGACTATAACCTCTAACCTGGATATACTTGAAGGCTCTTTTGGCAGAAGGTTTTGAATAGTCAAACAATTTAAGCGTATAGTCCCTTGAACCAGATGCCAGGATCTGTTCTGTTGGATGGAAAGCTAAACATGTAACCTCATCCACATGATCATATAGAGTCCGAATAACAGGATGATTTTCCATATTCTGCTGTGCTGTCTCATTCATCATGACCTACAGAAAACATTTAAACAAGTCAATGGAGAGTGTTTCCTTCTGACAAAGAAGGAACCATAAACCACTATCCAACTCTTATGTTATACTCTGGGCATTTAAAAGAAAAATGCAAACAAACATGTGGGATCTCCTGGTAGAAGAGAAAAAGTGAGTTTTAAACATGCATCAATACCTGCCTCATCTTCCAAGCAAAGATTGCATTTTTTGACAAAAAACTATGCATATAATTAGAATGATAACGATTATCTCAAAGTTCTTTGCAAATGTTGGTCATTAACATCCCTATGATAAATATACAATATCCTTCTTTTACAGAGAAGCAAAAAAACTGACCGAGGTTAGTGATTTGCCCAAAGTCAAAATGGAGTCAGCAGCTGAAGAAAATAAAACTCAGCGGTCCTGAGTGTTAGTCCCCTGCTCTAACTCACTACCCTTCTTGAATAATTAAGACAAATGTTGCACTTATTTTGTTCACAGCAACATTCTTAAGACTGTGCACTGCCACTAGTTGTGTGCAGATTCCAGACAACAACAAAAAAGGTACATTTCCTTAAGTATGCTATCAGAGGCAGAACAAATGCTATAAAATGGATATAGCATTTTTATCATTCACTGACTGATCATGATTCATGTGATACTTTACCTCGATGGGCATAGCACTTTTTGCCAACATTCTCTCTGTATCAAGAATTTTTATTGAGGCATCAGCAGATCCCGTAGCTATTAACTGCCCGTCTCTGCTGTATGTAGCTACGCGACATGGTCCTTTATGAGATGTGACGTAACAGGTCTCATATTCAGAAGCCTCGGGGGACATAGTCTGGACATCTGCATCGAATTCTAAGTCAATCCCTGTTCCTGGAGCTACTGTGTCGGAGCGTCCAATTGCATATTGAACTGCGCTGTCATCATTCTCCATTCCTGAAGGACAAGAGATTAAATATATTTACTTTCTCCACAAAAAGGTTGACTAAGTCTTCATAAATATACTAGTAACTGCTTACAGTAGCCATGATTGTATCTACAGTCAGCTTTCACAGGAAACCGTAATGCCTGCATAGAAAAAATATTTTTTTAAAAAAGGACAGACATTTACAGAACTTTTTCCTTTGCAGCTCAATAAAGAATACCCAAGAAAAGAGATTATGGCTACCAGAACCACCACAATAAAGCAGTGCCACTAACAGGGTCCTGGTCCATGACTAGAGCTCCTAGGTACTAGAGTAATTCAAATGAGAATAATGAGAAACATTATTCCTCCACACACTTATATCTCATATTTAACACCTTCTCTTCAAGGTCGCCTCTACATTTCATTAGTGGAAGTTGCAGCTTAAGCAGGGTACAAGCTCATCATTTTAACCACATCATTAACCCTACTCTGAGCAGGGGTAAATGGTGTCCCTGGTCTATGTCATCTAACCCTGTTCAGAGTAGAGTTGGACGACATGGTATTGAAAATGCTTGCTGTTACCATCAGTAGTGAATTAGGGATCCTAATTTTCCTAATTTAGATAGATCTAAAGCTTACTATATTTAAGCTCTCAGAGATGTGTGAAACACTGACTATTTCAATTTGCTATGCACCCTATTACATTATTCGAGTAGATTTTCAAAAAGAGATCATGATGAAAGATAACTAGACTAAGACCTCAATTGCCTTAACACTAAAACAACATGTATAAAGTTAAATGCTGCATTTCGGAGCTCCTTGTAGTTACTGTCATTAGTTTTGTCTGAGCCAAACAAAAGCTAGTTGACATGCTGAGATTCAAATCAAGACGATACACAAAATAAGATAAGAAGGCAGTTTGATCCTTTGTTGTGATTTCCTAGCTCTTGAGGACTGTTAAAGCTTACAATGCTTTAAATAGTCATTAAATAATTTTACTCATTTGGTAGTTAATTTTGCAGCACAGTTTTTTGCCAGTATAAAAATTCTCCCCAGTATAAAATTATATCTGCTCCATGGAAAAATTAGGGGTATTTTTAGTAAACAGAATACTTGTATTCTCTGTCACTTTAACAATAAAAAGAATGTGGAGTACTTGTGGCATTTTGGAGACTAACAAATTTATTTGGGCATAAGCTTTCGTGGACTAAAACCCACTTCATCAGATGCATGCCGTGGAAAATACAGTAGGAAGATTATATAATACACATAGACACACACAGAGAACATGAAAAAATGGGTGTTGCCATACCAACTATAACGAGACTAATCACTTAAGGTGGGCTATTATCAGCAGGAGAAAACAAAAAAAACTTTTATAGTGATAATCAGGATGGCCCATTTCCAACAGTTGACAAGAAGGTGTGAGTAACAGTAGGGGACTTTTTTCATGTTTTCTGTGTATATATACCTTCCTACTGTATTTTCCACTGCATGCATCCGATGAAGTGGGTTTTAGCCCACAAAAACTTATGCCCAAATAAATTTGTTAGTCTCTAAAGTGCCACAAGTACTCCACATTCTTTCTGCTGATACAGACTAACATGGCTACCACTCTGAAATCTTTAACAATAAAGTGTCCCCAACACTAATATTTCAATAAACACACACACAAGCCAGACTAGTGACAGATTAAGTTTACTTTGAAGCTAAGCTACCACACGGGGACACAATACTTTTTGGTTTTAGCAGATTTCACTAACTTTCCCATTAGTATTCTTCTGCCTAACTCAATTACAAGACTTTCCACTGTATTTTGTTGGTATCTGTTGGTGAATAAATTACCCTACCAAACATCATTTATATTCCAGTAGCATATAGAATCCCCAACCAAGAATGAGGCCCTGTGGTGCATACTAGGAGGCACTATACACACTAAGAGAGTCTGTCATAGTAAGAGACAGTTCCTATCCCAAAGACCTTACCATGTAAATACAAGAGAAACAAAAGGGTGGAGAAAACACAGATGTACAGAGAGGTGAAGTGACTTGCCCAAGGTCACAAAGCAGAGAATAAAACCCAGGTCCGAGTCCCAGTCCAATATCCTAGCCACGGGACACACTGCTTCAATTACACCTGATTAGACAGTAATCAACTTTTAACAGATGTTTTCTATTAAGTTCCATCCTCCAATACACTGTGCATTCACCTGCTTAAAAAAGAAATATGTTTAGACTTATACCAGCACCCAGACATTTGTCAGACAATAAAAAAACTGAATTCTGATCTGACAAGTAATACCAGTGTCAATAACAAGACTATTACGATATACCCTGAACGACCTGGGACCTACCTGCCTCCTTCATCTCCCTCCCCCCCAACATGAAACAGTCCTCTTGACATGTGGCAACTGAGCTGAAACCTCATAAGAGAGAGGGAGTGACTGGCAGGGCAGTCGGTGTGAGGGCCCTGAAACTCTGAAACCCATTTCCTTTTCAGATCTGTAACAGTCCACATTTATTTGTCTTCCAGACATAATGCAAGGCCCACCATTTCTCCTCTGTCTGCAAGGAGACTGGTCTTGAGTAGGTCTACTAGTGTTGATGTGCAATTTGGTGGGTCAGTTAGTTTTTATTATATTTATCAAGGGATTATTTGATTTTATCTAGGAGATCTAATGGCCCCATTTATTCAGTGTACTTTTAGAAGACTGTCGAGGATCCAGGGCATTGGATAGGCACTATTATAATTTGAAAAAGTACAAATAAATAAGTAGATCCTAGAAAAGATTTACTGAAAGACTTGTATTTTGTTATCTATGCATAAATATGACAACTGTACAGCAACATTAGGAGTTAATGAGAACATTTACTTTTAGATTGCATTGAGTCCACTACAGAATCACAGAGATGTAGAGCTGGAAGGGACCTCTAGAGGTCATCAAACCCAGCCCCTGTGCTGAGCCAGGACCTACATACCTGAACTTCATCAAAAAGTCTGCAATTCCTAGTTTATGTACATGAATCCTGCATTACAGTTTACCTAGTTTAATCAGATGCAGCAGTTGTTCAGAGGGTGCGCAGACTGATTGTGGTTTTATCTCATTTATCAGGCCATTGGCAATGTTTATGTATCCATCATACAGCAATTGACTAATAATCAGTTTGTAAAGTTGTTGACGATCTTTCAAGCTTACTTTTGTTCTATACATTGTGAGCAAGGAATGCCTTGCGGGTGCCTGAAACAAGAGAAAAAAATACTTACAAAACAGTTACATTGCAATGGTATAATCTTTCATTCAAAACATACCCCAACACCTTTCAGCATTAAACAGTGCCGTTATAGTGACAAATTAAAAAGGTATTGTATACATAAAGGAAAGAGACTTTCAGCTAAGATTCAAAACTAAATGGACAAATGAGAAGGAGATAACAGAAAGCTGTTGCAGACAGTAGCTAATGTTTTCACCCCTCAGCTCAGAGAGCCAAGAAGCAAAACTACAGAGGAGACAGTCCACCAGTTACCAGCACTCAGACTGTGATTAAAGACTGCTGACAAAGGTGAGAGAAGAGCAACACTGGCTAGTAATCAACATGTTCACCTCCGACAGTAACCTTTAATTCAATCAAGCAGGTGTGGGGAAATGGGCAAACAGTTGTGAGTGACAAGGTTAACAAACATACAATTTGTAGGGGAGCCAAGAGGCAAAACAAAACGTGTGTTGTAGGGTTTTCAGTGAAGCCACCAGCTGAAAAACCATAACCTCCCTGCACCCAACACACCATCCCTCCCCCAATCCACCCATTTCCAGCCCCAAAGAACAATCGATTGTTATAAACGGGGAGGGGTGAAAGCAAACTAAGGGGCGGGGGGAGAAACTGTCTGGATGGAGAGTGAACTGCCTAGCGGTTCCTTGAGACCGCGGGCCAGAAGAAACGGCGTTCGGCAAGCAAGCAAAGCTGTAAACCGCTCAGCTCAGCAGGGCACGTAGGAAAGGAGTTGTTCACACCGCCCCGGTACCTACCAGCCCGTCTTTCTGCCTCCCTTGCTCTCCCCCTAAAATGGCGACCGGAGCCCTGAGAGCATCGATAGATGCTGGAGGAGGCGGCGGCTAAGTGTATCCCAATCACTCCCAAGCGCAATGTGCAGCTTTGCGCTACTGAGCATGCTCGTGGAAAGTGAACATGCTCACGAACGTCTGCTGCTGAAGCCCGCCTGGGCCCTTACTAGGATTATACAACGTCCCCGTTGTTCCCAAAACCGCGTTACAACGGGACCGGCGACAAAGCGGGGAGATGGGATGGAACCTGCACTGCAGGGAGCCAGACTGCACGCCCAAGAGAGTCACGCAGGCGAAGGAGAGGGGCAAAAATCAGACATAGGGAATAGGGGCCGGGGTTAAGAGCCCCTGCCAGACAACGGGGGGAGAAGAGGGAAACTAGACAAATAGGGAGTTTACTAGAATTGGGGCGAATTGTCTGTGGGGGTTGCAAAAATGAGCTGTGCGTGGCAGGGAGCCTATTGTTTACCCTTTTGCTAAGCAGCCCATCTCACAGCCCGCTTACCAGGGCTGTTTCTAAAGGCATAGTGCATCTCAATGCCTAAATAAGGCACCTCTTCCTTATCTGAAATGATGTAGCAAGCAGCTAAATAAGACTGAATCCGGTGAAACGCCAACACACAGATAGAATTCCTATGCACGCGTTTAGTATTTTACCGAATTCCTTTTCTGTTTATATGTCTGCATAAAGCCTCAGAGCAGTTCACTAATTCCTCTGATCTGCTGTTTCAGTCCCTGAATTAGACCCCCTTTCTTGTAATCCACAGCCAATGCTGGTTCCTGCCTTATTTACTTTTTAAAATTTTATTTTTTATAACTCATTAATCTTACACTTCATTTACATTGTGCAAATAGATGCCATTGCACTATTTAATTTATATCTGAATAGCAAATAATTGAACATATTAATAGTTGCTAGAGGTTAACAATCACATCTCACATTGTATGTTTTTACTATGATTTTGCAGTTTGCAATTTTCAATTTTTATTTGTACTTTTTTTTTGTAATCAAATGACTTTAAAGCTGACATCCTGGGTTGGCATCAAAACTTCTTTAGTTTCCCTTGCATTTCTTTGACTGGTTTGAAATTGTGCCTCCTGGGCATTGATCTAAATTTGGGGCCATTTGAACAAGGGGTTCATGAGATACAGTACCTGCTCCTCCCCCACCTTCCTTAATATTCATCTGTTCTGGCAATGAATGTTTGATCACAGATAGAGATCAAACCAGGTCTGAGAGATCATCACACCAGGGTCTCAAATGCTTGAGAGCTACCTCAACAGAGTGCAGGGTATCCACTATCCTTTTGGGGGAAATCAAATTACATTATCAGCTGAAAAATTAAATTCTCCTGTTCTGAGCATCACTCTTTAAAGTGCTTGATGGCATGCCACATGGATTATACTGAGCCTGTGCAGAGAGAGAGGGTAGCTGGAAACTACCTCTACATCACACATCTTGAATGGCTCAAGGGGGACTGTTATGATCACCAAACCTAAGTCACAGCCTGGTGGCAAATGCAGCTCATGACAGAAATCTGAAATAAAAGCAGGAAGTAAAGTTTGCTCCAATCTGCATCCGTCAAAGGGAGTTTTGATTTTGTGGAAATGTAATCCAAGTACAGCAGAATATTCTGAAAGTGCTGAAACTTTTTTTAAAAAAGAAAAAAAATTACATATGCAACTGCTCCCTGGAACGTGACTGGGGTGGAAGAGTAGGTGGGAATGAGGGTGTTAGTCTTAGAGCAAGGGAGGGGGATAAATGGGGCTGGGTGGGAAGGAGAGGAGTTGAGAGGGTTAGGTAATAGGGCTGGACACTGGGAAGAGGGACAGAGTTATCAGGGGCTGGGAGAATAGGAAGACCGGGCACCTCTCCTTTCCCCTGTATATACCACAATCTAGAGGGCCCCAGCCCATCTACAGAGGTGTGGCCCCCTCCATGCAATATGTGGTGACTTGCCTTCCTGGGGTCTAAGCCCCTCTCCCCCCACCCCCATTGGTGTGTGTGGCCCATGTCTGCATCTGGATCTGAGGAGGCCCTGCCCATCTATGGTAGTTGGGGCCCTCCCATACATGCCCCCCTCATATGAGCCAGGTTCTGGAAGAGGTTTGTTTGTGTAGGGTGTGAAGGGGTGTCTCACCCCATCTCCCTACCCTCCTGTAAGCTGGGAGATGATTTTTTAAGATATTTGTAGTTAACATGCAGTGTTAATGGGATGCTGTTTTCGATAGCTGTGATGTAACAACAAAATTAGATTAATTTCCTGATAGGTAAAGATAAAAATGGAAACAGCACATACTTGTGCTCACCCTTTTTAATAGTGGGCATTGACTGAATTGGTAGGAATTGAGCATGTGACTGTTTCACTCAGCTTGGGCTCAAAACACTAAAATTTAGCATGAGTATGAAAGGGTTATCAGTGGCACAGTACATAGCAAATATAGCACAAGACTCTGGCAAGTGGTACATGCATGTGTAGTGATTCCAAACATTCATTAAATAAAAAAAGTAAACCATTACTAAACATTGAGAGTGACTTTATGAAAACATGAAATCCAATTATGAAGTAAGCTATTGGCTATTTATTTTATAGTTTAGATTCTTCCAGTTTCTCAGTGGAGGAAAAATCTACTATGATTCTGGAAAACAAAAATTGTGGAACACAAGATACTAGTGGTTGGGCCCAACTGTTGGGCCACTCATCCTAAAAGTAGTTAATGTCAAACTACTACTTAGTTATGAGTTTTCTATTTTAAAAATGCATTAGCTTGTAGAATCATATTTTGAACATAAAGATATCCTATGTATATACAGGGGGAAAAAAAGCAATTCTCTTAATGGAAAAAGGTCAGGTATAGCTTTGTTATACACCTCTACCCCTATATAACACAAATTCGGATATAACGCAGTAAAGCAGTTCTGGGGGGGAGGGACTGCGCACTCTGGTGGATCAAAGCAAGTTCGATATAACACAGTAAGATTTTTTGGCTCCCGAGGACAGCGTTATATCGAGGTAGAGGTGTATATTCCAAGTGAGGTCAGAGTATATGGGAAGGTAAACAGGAAGAGTGGAATGTCATTAGTTATTTTACTACATTTATTAAAATAGGTCACAAATTTGGTACCCTAATGAAAGAAACTGGGTTCTCTGTATGAATATTGTGTTTAATTAGTGAAAAGTAAAAAAAAAATTTGAAACCAAAAGAGCATTGAAATACAGTAGGATATAGTTATATCTACAATCTAACAGTTTAAGACAAATAGATAAGGGTACCAAATATTATTTAAATATGACCCCCCCCCCAAAGGAAAATATTTGCAAATCATTAATGTAGTTCTTGAAATAAGTGACATTAATCAATCTATTTCTATTTATAGTTTTCAGAGTTAGGAAATCATTTGATTAAATTATATTGATTTTGCATAGAGCACAGAAGTCTACTGCTGCAACCTTGTCATATGCAAGAAGGAAAACAAAGATTGCATAATGGTAAGCAACACAAAATTGTATTAGAAACACATGCCATATGTTTGAGCAGGTAAGTAAACAGAATATGATCTGTTCCTGTGCCATGAACTGAAGTTATGGCCCAGTATCTAGACAGATACATATAGATCAGATGGAATAACCTGGATAAGGATCGGGATTGTGGTAATAATTCTACATTAATAAATACTTCAACTGCAGCAGATAGTCATATCTTGACTACGGATACGTAGCTAGAAAGTTAAAAATCACAGCAGAAGTTCAATAAATATTTTACAATTTTGAGTTAACGGAAATTATATTTTGCACAATTAGTGTCATTTTTTCCATCTATTATTTTTCAAAGGCACAGTGTGACTCCTGCAAGAGGTGGGCACATGTGCTCTGCCTTCCACAGGGAACTAATAAAAACATCCTGAGCAGTAAAAAGAAAGAGTATACAAACTTTGTGCAATTATAGTTGTGGTGTTTACAAAATGTATATACTGTATAATTTTTTAAAGATAAATATTTTGGTTTTCTTGCAATCAGACAATCAATACAAATGAGTAATAATAAATAGAGGAGTTCAATTTTAATGTACACTTAGCTAAAGTCACAAAAATAAGTTAATTCTGTTTCTAAAAATAAAAGTTTAGATCTTTTTAAATATTGACATGTAAAGTAAGTGATTCTTGTTTGCTGATAGAAAATTATGACAGATGGGGCACTGCCATCACAATTTGCTAACTCTATTCTTCCCATCATCTGGTCCAGGGGCAGCAAATTGTGACAGGAGTTCTCCCCTCAGTCACAATAGGCCACTTTGGACCAGGAGACAGGGAAGTATGGAGATAGCAAATTGTGGCAGTGCAATAACAGAATACCTAGATGTCAGTAAGGGGTATCAGCAGCAAATTGTGCTAGGAGCATGGGGAGTACATGCTAAACAACCAAGGGTTCACTACAATGAGCTGAGTGACCCTGTGCATGCACACCACAAGAGTGTGATCATATACAAACCCTTAGCAAAAGCCTACTTTTTGTGGGGATGAAAGGGGACTAGAAGCATGGAAAGGCAGGTTCTATTCCTAGTCTGGAAGCGCAGGGAATTCTAATGGTAACAGCAATCTAGTCCAGGAGAGCACAATTCATTTATTTCCAGCTCTAGCAGAAGTAGGATCTAATGGTTAGCTCAGAGCATGGTAAGCTGAGAAATGATAGAGGCTACGGAGATCAATGGCAGTATTCCTTGGGACATTAAAGAAGGGCCTGGGAAGGGATTAGCCACTGAGCAGCCTAATAGGCTCTACAGTTGAAATTCAGAACTCCTGGGTTCAATTCCTTTGTTGGAGTGAGAGCAGTGGGATCTCAGGAGACTGGGGATTAGGACTGCTGGGTTCTAGTGGGTCTGGGCTGAGAAACCATGACATCGCCAGAATCACCCACATCCCCAAGCCTCGCTGCAAGCAAATGGAACTGAAAGTCACGAGGCCTCACTGCTGGGTGCTGCAGGCCTCTGGGATGACTCCAGAATTTAGCAGACAGCATAGTGGCATGTTCAGACAAGGCACTTCAGGGTGCCTCAGCAGCAGTGCTGAAGGCCTAGCCCAAGAGAACAGACCCCCCCGCCCCCAACAGACGGCCCTACTCACCTCAGTCTCAAGGAAAGGCAGCCGCAGTGGCCGTGGCTCAGGAGCGGGGGAGCCCAAGTTACTCAGGCCCCGTGGAAGCGGACGCCTATCACACGCTGAGGGAACACGACGGCCTGACATCCTCCTCACACCTGTCCTCGCTGCCATCTATCACGCCTCACCGCCACGCAGCCCCACACACCGAGATCACTTTCACACTTGTCCTCACGAGCGCGGTGGCAACGGGAGTTGCTTTCTAGCTCCCTCCTTCCAAGGCCGCAAGTCGTCCTCGCGCCGGGCCCGGCGGCCACGGATCACACAATGGCTCGAGAGCCCCTTCACGATTGGGCTGGACGGCCCGGGTCCTACGGGAGCCACCACGCGAGACGCCTTGCTGCTAGTACAACAAAACTGCCCAATGTCCCCCTCCCGTTTGTCCTCGAGCGCCCAACGCCCCGCTGGTGCGACACGCTGGCCCTGCGCTCGACAGCCCACCGTCCGTGGGCCCTGGCACTGACCACACGTCACCGCTGGTGCGACACGCTGGCCCGGCTCCCACTCACGTTTGTGCTCCAGAGCCACAGCCCGTGGCAACGGCCGCGGATCCCACGTCAGCGACCGCAGGGGCGACACGCTCGCGAGGCAACAGCCCAGCCACTCCTCTCCGCCTGAAGCTGGGGGTTAGCACCTCCTAAGGCAACCCCCTGAAGTCCTTCCCGTCCCCACCCCCCCAGGCTCTGTGCGCACTCTCTGCGCCAGGCCTTAATGGCCGGCTGTGAGGAACAAGAATGCCTGCTGATTGGCTTCTCTTCAACGGCGCCGCCCGCCGATTGGTTCCCAAGTGTTCCTTTAGTTGCTGAGCGAGCCTCTCAACGTCTCGGGCGCATGCGTGACCGCTACCTGCCGCGCCCTCCCGCCTCCAGCGTGGTATTAACGCCGCTACGTGCGTTCTTTACGTATCATCTGCCTCTTGTTTCCTCCCTACGCTAATTTCGTAGACCGACGCGCCAATTACGGAGTTTCCGCTACAAAGTCTCTGCTTGGTCGAGCCTTTCCTTACGCAAATCGCGTAATTCCAGGCCGCCCACCCATGGCAACGCAGTTATCATAAGCGGCTTTGGGCTTGTGGTTTTCCCCAGCTAGGATTTATTGGGGGGAGAGGACTTCCTTTTAAAATGGTTGCTTCCAACGGACTCTCAGGGAGAAGCGACGACCATTTTAAAAGAAGCCCCACCCCCGTCGACCTGAGCGTGATCTCGCAAACCCGTCGCATCCCTCCCCTGCCCTTAGGTTGGCCAAAAATGGCCGCTGTCCTTATCACGTGGGCTCAGGAGGCCAATCATCTGCCTCTGTTTTTAAAAAATCAGCGGATGATAGTAATTGGCTGCTTTCCTGGTCACGTGGCCTCGAGAGGCCAATTCTGGGCCTCCGCGGGCGGGCGCCTGAAAAGAAATCAAATCAGCATCGGCAGATCGTTTGATTATCTGTTGTACGGTGCCGCTTGCCACTACTACGGTGTGTGTGTGTGGAGGAGACGTGCGTCAGTTACAGGCTGTGAGAGGCCGGAGCCCCCCTCAGCAGGTGAGTGACTGGCGATCATACGCCTCGTCCGTGCTGCGGCAGCATCGCCCGTTGCTGGAAGTGGGGCCACGCGGCGGATGGGGGCGTGCAGCGGGTCTCAGCCTTCTGTGTCCTGGCAACACTGGGGGGCGGGGGTGAGACTCGGGTGGCAGAGGCGGGGCTCGGGATGGGCCAATGGAGAGCGGCGGCGGTTTAAAGGGTATCCTAAGAGGGCGGTTTGAATTCAAACAGCTCGGGCGGTCGGGGCCAGCGGGGTGGTGACGGTGAGGGGAACACGGGGCTGTGGGGGATCTGGAAAGGGGGTCGCCTAGGGGCTGAGGCGTGGAGTAGGGAATGAGGATTCTAGTGGGAACGGGGCTGCAACGGGGACTTGGGGGCTACAAGGTGGGGACGGCGTGTGTGTGTGGGGGGGTTGCAGCAGGAGTGGATGGGGGCGCGTGGGGAGTTGCAGCAGGGAGGGGGGCTTCACGGGTGGGGACCGCGTGCGGGGGGGTGCAGCAGGCGGGGAAGTATGAGGCCTGTGCAGTTGCACTTGAGGCAGCTCGTGAGCGGGATCTGCGGGGAGGTGAAGCGTTGTAATGGGGAGAAGGTTGCAGGGGGAGCTGGATTTGAGGGGTATAATGTGTGTCGGTTACAGTGCCAGGGGATTGTACTGGAGGAAGGGGGGGCGCAACTTTAAAGGATACATCTATGGTGGTGTCGGGTTTCATTGGGGATGGGAATTGAAGGCATGAACACTGCAGTGGGGTGCAGGTTGGTGTAGGGTGTGGATGAGGAAAGCAGAGTGCGAGGGGTGGGGGTATGAGGAAGACATGCAAGGGGTGATGAGGAGAGGGTGCTCTGTATATAAGATATTTATAATTAATAATGTCCCTACATGAAATATCTCTGCAATTAAATGTTCTCTATTTAGGCAATATGGAGAAAAATGGTAAAGAGAACCACAATGGGCTCCCTGGTCACCGTGTCAAGGTAAAGTGGTCTTGCACACTTACTAGACAAATGCATTTTACTGGGCTTGATCATACGAGGACTATTAGCCTCTATTTGTTCACTCCACAAATTATCAGTGATAATTATCGCTGACTCTTCATCAAATAGGTTCCCCTTTTTTCTTGAAGTATTATACTCTGACACAGGGAATATTCTCCAAGCTACTCTGTCAGTAGCTCACTGCTGTGGAGACGTAGCCACCTGGAATACAACTTGTACAGCTTCTACAGACTGCTTCTGCATGCTGTTAGTCTTAAAATGTTGTTTTCTTGTGGGGTGGCAGCCAGAATTGTGATATGAGTCTTTAAATATCTAAGACTGTGATCATCATTTTGGGATATAGTGATAGGAATGTTTCAAGCAAGACACAAGAAGTAATTCTTCCACTTCACTCAGCATTGATAAAGCCTCAGCTGGAGTATTGTGTTCAGTTCTGGGCATCGTACTTTGGGAAAGATGTGGACAAATTTGGGACAAACTGGAGAAAGTCCAGTGGAGAGCAACAAAAATGGTTAAAGGTATAGAAAATAGATCTATGAGGAAAGATTGAAAAAATTGGACCTGTTTAGTCTAGAGAAGAGAGGGGGATATAAGTCTTCAAGTGTGTAAAAGGTAGTTAGAATGAGGAGGGTGATAAATTGTTCTCCTTATCCACTGAGGACAGGACAAGAAGTAGCGGGCTTAAATTGAAGCAAGGGAGATTTAGGTTAGATATTAGGAAAAACTTCCTAACTGTAAGGGTAGTTAAACACTGGAACAAATTGCTTAGGGAGGTTGTGGAATCTCTGTCTTTTAAGAACAGGTTTTAAGAACAAGAATACCTGTCAGGGTGGTCTAGATAATACCTAGAGCATGTCTACAGTATAAAATTAAGTTGACTCAAGTTAAGTCAATGTACAGCCACTGCAGTAATTAAAGCAGTGTTTCATGTCCACACTGTACTCTTTCTGTCCTCAGTGCACGTCCTCACCAGGAGCACTTTCTACCGGCTTAACTGTGTGGGGCATTATGGCACAGTGATAGCCGGGCCCCCCAGCGATGTAAGTAACGCTGCGTCTACATGGACGCTGCGTCGACCTAACTTCATCAATCTAAGCGCTACACCTCTCACGGAGGTGGAGTTATTAAGTCGATGTAGTGGGCAACTGACATCAGTGGGAGCTACTTTTTAGTGTAGATGCTTACAGAGTTAGGTTGATGAGAGCTGCCTTATGTCGACCTAGCTCTAGTATAGACTAGGCCTTAGTCCTGCCTCAGTGCAGGGGACTGGACTAGATGACCTATCAACGTTCCTTTCAGTCTGACAATTCTATGATTTTATGATATCATCCTTTTTTAACTCTTAATGGGTATATTAATTGAGTATAATGGAGCTAATTAGTCCATGCACACGTAGGAAAAAACACTTGCCTGCTTGTATTAATAAGTGGACAGGACCAAGGAATAAACTACAGGAAAAGCAGAACTTCTAGTATGTTGTACTTGCCTCTACTGTAATTAAATGTGTTGGGTTTTTTAGACTCTACCCACTATTGGGGATGGTCCAAAACGGCTCCCTGTGCATCAGCAGCATCCTCAGAATCGGGTACCTGGAGGTGGAGTTCAAGCACAGCGTATTTTGTGTCCTTCAAATTTGGCTCAGCGAGTTCCTGTACAGTCACGGGCTCAAAAATCTGCGCTGTCAAACCAGAAACCGTCTCAAAACCAGCTGATGCAGCAGCCTCATCCAACTTCTCTAGTTCAACCAATTTCTAGGCCTCAGGCTCCAAGTAAAAACAACGAGGAACCTCCACAGACCTCACTATCTGGTAAATATAACTGTGCAAATAAATGTTTCATCTTCAATAATCTGCAGTCAACTGCAGCATATTAACTAAATCAGCATATATTCTTCCTGCATGCATAAGAGATTGTCTAGTTTCACCTTGAGCCATAATCCTTTTCTATTATTTTTATTATCATAGCACCTGAGAATCCTAATTATGGACCAGGACTCAGCAGGGTTAGGTGCTGTACAAGAACAGAACAAAAAGACAGTCCCTGCCCAAAATACCTTGCAATCTACAAGAGAATGCTTTACTAATGGGAAGACAAGTTAGAAGGGTACTTCAGACTTGTACAGAAAGTTTTCCTGAATTAAAAAATCCCTTGTAGCTGTGACGCACTAACTAATGTGATGCTGCTTACTCTTTCGTAGGCCAGATTAGTAGTTTATTCATATGAGACTAATATAGTGGTCACTGATGCTCAGATACCATGGTAATGGTTGCAGTAGGAGAAACAAAGGGCTTGGCTACACTTGCGAGTTACAGCACATTAAAGGAGCCCCGGGCGCACTAGATGTATCACTACCCGTCCACACTGGCAAGGCACGTAGAGCGCTTTGACTCCATGGCTACAGCGCTCCTGGTACTCCACCTTGGTGAGTAGAATAACATTTGATGCGCCCCAGCGTCAGTGTGAACGAGGTGTTGCATTACGGTGCTCTGATCAGCCTCTGGAAAGGTCCCATAATCCCCTTAAGTCAAGTGGCCACTCTTGTCATTGTTTTGGATATGCCCTTTGAAAGCTCCGTTTGACAGCCGGCATGCTTATCTGCTCCGAGACAAAGCAACCATTACTACGGAATGCTGTTGGGGTGGGGGGGGAGGTCTGCTGCTGTCTGAATTTACAAGACAGCATGCTGACATGCTCTCAGCCCCCCCAAAACCCACTCTCTCTTTCCCCTCACATACACACAACACACTCCGTCACCCTTCCCCCCATTTGAAAAGCAGGTTGCAGCCACTTGCATGCTGGGATAGCTACCACAATGCGTGGCCATTGCAAGAGCTGCTAATGTGGCCATGCTGGTGCGCTGTCAGCTGTCAGTGTGGACAGACTACAGCACTTTCCCTACTGCGCTCTACGAAGGCTGGTTTAGCTCAAAGTGCTCTACATCTGCAAATGTAGCCATGCCCTAAATAGGTTCAGGCTGTCCCTGAAGACTGAGCCTGGCTTGTATGCAGAACTTGGGAACCAGATTGCTTCCAAAATAATTTTTTTCAGACAGTAGTGGCAGTTGTGTTTATGAACTATAGTTATGAAGGTGTTCAATTCTTTTTATGTGTAGCAAAAAACCTTGAAGCAGAAGGGACATCCGTCCAGAAAAATGAAGAAACTAAAAAGTAAGTCCGTGGGTATGTTGCCATTGATGGTTATGGGGCCAGGGTTTCACTCTTTGTATTTAGGACTAAATAATATAGCAATTTGGATGCAAAATATTTTGTGACTTAATACACAACTATTGTTTTGTAGCCCATTCATTATCAGGAATGCTGTCTCTGCATTTGTAAATACCACAAAATATTTTGGAGCTATGAATATGAGATCCTAGAACTTCATGAAAGTATATCTTTAATCTGTTTCATGACCTGATAAACTATGAAAGCCTTTGCTCTTGAAGGTTGTTTAAAAAAGGAAAATCTGCATACTTTTTAGCCAAAAAAGAACTACGCTTTTTATTTAAGAAGCTATTCTGAGCGAAGATTTTTTTTTTCCCCTTGTATGGAAAACCACAACTTAATGGGATTTTTTTCCATGAAGCTGGACAAGAATAATATTTTGAAACTAAATGCAAAATGCCTC